TTATACTGAACCTTATGGGAAAATTTGATTCAGTTCATGACTAAAGTCGGTTTACAACCATATTTATAGGGATCTAAACAGGTTAACCTTACTTACATTGAAATTCGGTTTAGTTCATGACCAATTCAGTTTGTGACCAGAATTGTGGAATGAGTTAAGTTTGTGAATCAAAGTACCACTGTACTTAGAGCAACTTTTTTCTTTTTTTGAGATGCGATCTTGCAATGTAGTTCCAGCTGTCCTTGAACTCCCTATGTAGCCTAGGCTGCCCTCAGACTCACAGTGGTCTTCTTGCTACAGCCTCCCGAGTGCTGAGAGCAACTTTCAATTTGGAGTAGCTATATATTCATGTGTTCAACAGCACATGTGACTAGTGGCTACTGTACTGTAAGTTTCAACTCTGAATCAAGACTTGTGCAATCAAACAGTTCCTAAGCAGCAATGCATGGCAACTACTAAGTTGACTTGCCACACTTGCATGGATTCATTCAGTAATGGGACAATAAGCTCTGATGAATTTGCAGTTTATTAACAGTGGCCAAGCAGGCAGTATGAGTTTTCATGGGCCCAGGTGGGTACTATACAGAGGTGGCTCCATCGCTAGCTGATGAACACTAAGCTTACATAAGCCCCAATTTTACAAGACAGTTACAAGCAACCCTGTTCAAATTTTGTTCATCAGAAAAACAATATTTTTACCATCCTGGTCAGAAAACCCACAGGGAAACATAATCTGAAAGCTTCAAGGCTACTAGGCAAACATCCTTGCAAGGATCGCCTAGGACACAAAATACTTAGCAATCCCATTAGAAACTGTCTCCCAACAACTGGCTTTTCTCTTGAAAGGCTCTGTAGACATTCCAGGAGTTAAATGTTCCATAGTAGCCTCTACATAGCTTAAAAATAGCAGAGAACATACAATTATTGATTTTGTGCTTGCCTCTCCTACTACCTACGAGCTTGTAGGAGGCAGCGAGATACAGCACTCAATAAATATTTGATGAAGAAATAAAAAGTACTTGGAAAGAAACTAGATAATAAGAGAGACTAATAGAAAGAATTTACTTTAAGATTGTCAAGAAAAGTCAAGGTTTGATTAATCTAAAACTTGAACAATAAGAATTTAGCCATGTCAAATCTAAGGATAGCCAGGCTCATTGTGTAATGCACCCCTGTACTCCCAGCACTTGGGTGGCTGAGGCAGAAAGATCCTCATGTGTTGAAGGCTATCCTGGGCTATATAGTGAATCTAAGGCCAGCGTCAACTACAAAGCAAGACCTGTCTCAAAAAATTATAAGTAAATTAATAAAATCTAGAGATCAAGGAGGAAGAGCATAACTAAAGGATCTGGAGCATCAGAACCTTGGAGAGCTGAGGAACTGAAAGGCCAAAGCATCTAGACACAGTGAACTTGGTGTTCAAATGGTTCAAGATCATTTGGAAATAGAAATAGAACCACATTATGTAGGGTTTTACAGATCATGTTAAAGACTTGAAGTTTTATTGAAAGTCCATGGGAAACTATTAAGTAATTTTTAGTAGGGTATATTACAATCTAATATTTAAATGTAATATAATACCTATGACTATCCAAGTGTGGCCGCATATGTCTGTAGTAACCCCAGTACTTGGGAGGCTGAGGAAGGAGGATCACTGGCAAGCTTGAGGCCAGCCTGGGCTACATAACAAGACCCTGCTGGGAAAAAAAAAAGCCACACACACACAAACCTATGATCAGCTGCCTACTGCAATATGGATGGGAGCAGTCACAAAATCATTAAGAGTCTGTGACAAGAAATGGTGACGAAGGTCTTATTTTGCTGTTTTGTTTTTTTGTTTGTTTGAGACAAGGTCTCACTCTGTAGTACAGAGTGACAGGCCAGTGTAGGGCAGTACAGGCTGGCCTTGAACTTGCTTATGTAGTCCAGGCTGGCCTCAAACTCACTGTGACCTCCTGCTTCAGCCTCTCCAATGCTGGAATTACAGGCATGTGCCACCACACCCAACTTAGTGATTCATTTTGCAACTTTAATTTTTCTTCTCCTATGAGTTTGGTCCTCCTAAATCTAGAAACTGAGAGGCTGAGGCAGGAGGATTGCAAGTTTGATCCTGGGCAATTTAGCAAGATACTGCCTCAAAATAAAAAATATAAAAGGTCTTGGGACCAATCCCAGGTAGCTCCCTCCCCACAAAAACAAAACAAAAAACATATAGCTTCCCTTCCTTCTCCTGCCTTAATATTAAATACTAGCCAAGCCCACATTTAACCATTTCCTTAAATACCTTAGTTTCTCACCTTAGCTCTTCAACTATAATACTCCATATCTACTTAAATTTTACTCTTTTTGTGTGTAGATAACATTTTAAACTTTTAAAAAAATCTCATTATATTAAACTGCTTTTGTTAATGTAGTGCTGTGGTGGACTGACAACTGGCGGTCAACTTTAACACCCTGCTGAACTAAACCAGCATGGTGCTGGGTGTGGAGGCCCACCTGAGGATTGTTGCCAGCAGCATAAGAGACAGAACTGGAGAAGAGAAGCCGTTAGGGAAGCTGTTGGGAGCTGTTGGTTTTCCTGGAGGAGTTTGCCAGAGATCTTCCAGTGCCAGGTCCTTGACAAAGGCAGGACTGGCAGCGGGTATCTGCAAAGCAGGGACCGCATAGGATGGGTGTGCAGCCTCTCTCTGTACTCTCTATTAATTATAGCTTTCCGGATATTCACTGTGCTATTGATAAAGGATGGTTGGGGACTTGAAGGATCAGAACTGAAAGTAGTTAAGAAATCAGAGCCAGGATAAAAGGCACCCTTTCAGGGTTGAAAGAGGGAGTAAAAGCCACCATGGAGATTTGTGTCAATCCCCTCCCTCCTGTGTGACAATGTTCACCCATCAGAATGGGAGGGGAGCCCTGCACAAAACTCAGTGCATGGGAAAACATTGGCCAAAGGCCCTGTGTGTGCTGAACTGGCTCTAGATGGAAATACTGTAAATGTGGGTCCTGTTGTCCAGTAGACAAGTGAACAATTCTTTGAAAAATTATACCTAATCAAGAACACCTAGTGATTGAGCTTTTTGCTTTCTTTTATGTGCTTTAGAAAAGTTGATTTCCTGCTAGGGTTGCAGCCAGATGGTCGGTCAACTATATCTGAATCTGTAACCAAAATAGAAACCTCATTTTATCTAAGCAAACACTGTTTAACCTGCCAAGTTTCACATGTAATTGCAAAAGTATATAATAAAGCAAAAAACATTTCTCTGTGTCAGAGGAGCCTTGCTCCCCCGGCCCACCAGAAGGACCTCTGGTGTCTGTGTTGTCTCTTCACCCGCGTCGTTCCCGCCTGCAGGAATCTCCTGGTTATGGCAGATTTTTCCGGACCATGGCAGGAGTTTATCATGCTGGCTTTCCTCATGAACTCGGCTATTCTCATCGTCGAAGGAGCTCAGGACCTTGGTGTCACTGGGAATGGCTACAGTTCACTTTGGTGGAGCTGTGGTCCTTATTTTGAGCTTTGCTTCCTGGCTCCAGAGGGGAAGATGGTGCACTACCCAGTCTTCTGGAGAAGCTTGTCCCATCGATTTCCCTGATGGAAACTCGGCTGTCCTCATTATCAGAGGAGCTCAGGACCTCACTGTTGCTGAGGATGACTGGTACTTTTCAAGAAAGCTCTGGTTCTTACTTTGAGCATCGCTTCCTGGCTCCAGTGTAGATCCCTCAGCCTGCTGGCACAGATCCTTCATCATGCTAGCACAGACTTTCTAGCTTCCACCACTGACCTTTGGGCCTTCCCAGTGCAGATCTGAGAAACAGGCCTGCATGACACACTGGCCTCCAGTTGGACTGGTGAGGGGCATTGTTAGGGGCTCTAGGTCTTCAGCTGGACTCATGAAAGACATTCTGGGATCCAGATCCTTAGCTGGATTCTTTGGTCTTTAGTGGGTAGACAAATTTCCTGTACTCTTTTTGAATTCTTTAGGTGACTGTTATAAAAATAATCTTAAAATTAAGTGTCCTGTATTGTATTGTTTCCCCTTGCAAAACCCAAAACTACAACAAATGGCATGCTAGAGTCTACACATGGAGAACATTTATTAATTTCAAAATTCACTTCAAACCATTAAAACATCAAATTAGATTTAGGAGTATAAGCGACGTAAAAAGAATTAAGACATTATATACATGTACCAACTCTCCATGATTAATTCTGTACTGCAAACATACTAAAAATAAAAAAATTTAAACAAAAGTATGAAAGACAGTATTAGGACCCAAGGTATTCACACTCACACACACACACAAAATATTAGCATCTAAGTAAGTTGGCTCTTCCAAACTTTTTCTGCACTTATCTCACAAACTTTCCTATTAGGGAATAGGTTAACTTTATACTTAAGAACCTGAGGAACTTAGCTTTTCTGGCTCATTAACTACAGATTATTTGATGCTAGCAGATACAGTAAATACTAGCAGATACAGTAAATACCTCTGAGACAAGGAATTTGAGGGGGTTCTTATATACTATTTACCTTGCCTGTGAAGGCCTTCCTTTTATCTTGAATGCCTCCTTCTCCCTTGATAAAGTTCAAAGATTTTCAAAGCAACCTTGGAAAGCGTTTTTATTAGATACTCACAACTTTACAAAAGAAAATAAGTATTGTTTCCCCTCCTACTTTAAAAATGAGCAGGCTGGGGTGATGTGAACAGTCTGGAGGAGGCCCCAGGCTCCCTCTGGACAGTGTCTCTGTTACAACGTTCACCCGACAGTGCCTTGAAATTAGCCATATATGGGAGGACACCAGGGAATCCTTAAAAGGAAACAAAGCAAAACAAACAATAACCAGGCTTTTGAGTTGCTCAGATTATGTCGGGGCAATCAACCAGATCATAGCAGGGTACCCAGAAATGAAGAGCCACGAAACAGTAGAAAAATGATGGAGCAAGGAAATCTCCTTGCCAATTTATTTTTTTTTTTTATTTTTTATTTTTTTTGGTTTTTCTCTGGTACCGGGAACCGAATGCCAATTTATTTTTAACCAGAGTTCAGGAGGCCAACTTCAGGAGCAGAGTTCTACCGAGCAGGAAGTAACATGCCTCGGTAGATTTTCAGATGGAAGAGTCGGATTTAACGTCACTCATTTTATACCTCAAAACTGCACAGTTTCTACAGGCTGGCGGGAGGGGTGAAATGGTTTCTGCCACAGCCAAACCTTCAGGTTTACACCCGCAGGTCTCGCCCGGACGGAAGTCCCTAACAGGAAGTAGCATTAGCGGCGGAGTCACGTGTCACCCAAACATGGCTGCACCCTGGCAAGTGGAGCAAAGGTTGCAGTAATCCGCGGCGTGCTGGAGGAGAAACGCGGGAGGCGAGTCTAAGGTGGTAGCATTCCGGAATAAGGTGAAGTAAATCTCGCGGGGTCAACAGTACCGGGTAGTAACACGCTGTTTTTTGACAAAGCAGAAATGAGACAGAGGAGGGAAGCTGACAGCATGGTGCAGAGCATTTCTTCCATTTCCACCCTGGAAGGAATGACCTTGTATTTAAAGTAAACAGTACTTTAAACAGTACACAGTATAAGGACTCTACGCAATTAGATTTAACCCCGAAGTTACTGCCAGTTTACACGGGACAAATTTAATTTAAATTTGGCTAAATTTAATTTTTATAAACTCCATTGAACCCATCGTCTACGTCACTGACGTACCTAACGATATGAGCTAGTTAATACAAAAAATTTTTTTTTGTTTCAAAATTTCAAGTTTGTAGTGAAGGTGTTTGCGTTTGGCTGTGGTTTTTTGAGACGGGGTCTGGATACGTGTACACAGTAGTTGAAGCTGACCTAAACTATGTAGTACAGGCTGGCCTCGAACTCGTGGCCAGTTTTACTGAATTAAGGGTAACTTAATAGAGCAAATGGCTAGTTCATAGAACTAAGAACCTCACCAATATGCATAGAACCTAGAAGTAGTGACAGGTTTGGGTTAGACATTTTAAGAAAGTGATTTGTTTCTGATGTCACATAGTGTAGACTGAATTTGATTACATATATATTCCTGTACCCCACATACAAAAATAATCCAGTGCTCCAGCTATGGCAGATTGTGTATACCTTGTTAGTCAATGCAAATGCCCTCAAAAATTTGAGTCCTGCAGACCTGAGTTTTTTAAACCTGAGTTATATTTACTCGGTTATTTTTAAGTATAGTGGTAATGGAATTTCAATGCATTCACCATTTTTCAAATGGCTCCTGTATGTAAAACAACTATCCAATAAATATTTGTTAGAGTTATCAATTAGTCTTGTGGCAGGTAAATATTGTTAACTAAGACAGTAAACCCTTTAACTGTTACCTGGAAATCTAATGAGCTCAGTCTTTAAGCTAAAACTCATTTACTCATTCCTCTACTGACATTCCCCCTATATAGTGCAGAATTCAATAGATTACAGGACTCCATGCCACACCCAGTCTAATACTTGTTTTATATGGACAGGCAAGAACGATTTTTCTCACATTTCTAAATTTTTTCAAGACTATGTGTACCCATACACTTTAAAATACTTGCTATTTGGCTCTTTAGGGGGAAGTTTCCTGAGCCTTACTCTCACGTGTCCAATCTTTTGGTGTTCCTGGGCCATATATAAAATATATTACAGTTTACATAGGTAGCAAAACTTCCCCTTAATTCTTTTTTGGGGGTACTGGGAATTTAACTCAGGACCCTGCACTTGTCAGGCGCTTGTGCCACTGAGCTATATCCCCAGGCCCAAAACTTCCTTTTAAAATTTTTTTTTATTATAACATTTTAAGAGGGCTCGAAGCCTGAGCCACAGATTGGACACACCTACTAGACAGAATAAACTCCGAAGTAAAATTGCCCATTATGTGTTCTCCGTAACAGGTAATACCAAATTATTTTCCAAAGTGGTTGTACCCATTTTAGGTACAATTTACACTTCTACCAAGAGCACGTGAGTGCTTTGGCTACCCTAAATACTTGCCAGTACTCCAACTGAAACTCAGATTTTAAGTTTAGCTAACCTATGGGTGCCTATTGGGATCTTTTATCTGCCCAAATATAATGAGGTTGGGCATATTTTTGTATTTATTGGCTACTTAACGTCTTTGTAAAGTGCCTTTTCAGAACTTTTTGTTAATTGTGCTTACATTGGTTTTTTTTGTTTTTGTTCTTTTTGGGTTTCTAGCTCTGCATATGTTCTGGGTACTAACTACTTTGTCACTTTCCAACATTTTCTCCCATTGGTTTCTCTATGATTTCTACTGATCAGCCGTTCTGTTTTAATAGTTTAGTGCCGTTGTACCATGTTCAGGAAATGTTTTTAAGATTCTGTAGTTCTTGGAAATTTTTATGTGTTGCTTTTTATGTTCTGGTTTCACTTAAGGCTTCTGGGGTGCTTTCTGTTTTGCTTGTTTTGTTTCTCTGTGTTCTTTTTTTGCGGGGGGCAGTTTCTGGTACTGGGAATCGAACTCACGACCTCACGCCTGCCAGGCAGGCGCTGTGCTGCTGAGCTAAACCCCCGGCCCATTTTTCTGTATTCTATATATGCATTTTTTTTGCAGATTATGAACCAAATCTATACCTCTTTCAAAATTGAATATGGTCTTCAGAAACATTCTTAAATTGTTGTTCTTATAGATATACATTATTGAAAAATGGTATTTTTACTTTTTTAAGGCTCAAGATGGAAAATCACAAGCCAGATGATACTAAGGAAAACTTAACTGATATTATAGCCAGAAAAATTAACCAACTTCCAGAAACAGACAGGTAAGATGCCTTAAGGATATCTTTTACCAACTGGATTTTTAACTCAAATTTGGCTAAGTACAAACAAGATATCAAAAGACAATGAGTCTTTCTCTTCCTTTGATGATACCATATCTCATTTTGGAAGATGAGGCAAGATCATGCCTTCGGACATACTTAATTGTATGATTGTTTTTCCGATCAGCTTGGAGTAGAATATAAATATCATGAACCCATTTCAGTAACAAAACTTTCAATTTTAAATTATATTTTCACTGGCCATGGTGCATGGCTATAATCCCAGCATTCAGGAGGCTGAGGCAAGAGGATCACTCAGAGTTCAAGGCCAGCCAGGGCTATGTAGTGAGTACCCCATCTCAAAAAAAAAAAAAAAAACAGTTCCTTTCTTGTCTTCCTCAGTTCATGCCTACCAGTATGCTTGCCTGTCTAAAAGAGCACCATGGCTACAGGGAATTTCAGAGAAATAGGATTATGGCTGAAGATCTTTAAGATATTATTAAAAAGAAAACATGGAAACATACTCATAACTGAAGACAACAGAGGCAGCTATAGCACTCTTCTACAAGTGTTCTTAGACCTCCTTAAACAGTAAAATTTCTAACTAGGTTGCATTTAAAATGAAAATCTGAGGCCTTTAGGATTAAAAGAGGCCAGCTGCCAGAAAGGGAGGAACAATTTCTCAAGCAGAGAAAATGCCATGTGCTTGGGCCAAAGAGTTTATATTTGAGGAACCAGTGTTAGTAAATGATAAGTACACATAAGAAAAAAAAGTTTCAGGAAATATGATAAACGTGTTATATGTTGGTAATCAACTGCTTTGAAGTTTATGGTATTTGGTACTTAGTGCATTTTGACATGAAATGTACTTGTTTATTACTCTAACACAAGCTAGAACGTAGTGTAAATTGCCTTATGATTTGCTACCCTTTCCAGCCAAAAAAAAATTTGTTTGCTACTCATCAGTTTTGGACTTTGTCACATCTCCTGGAACCAGTTAATAACCATATCAAGATACCACTGTAACTTTTCTAATGAATATTCCAGCTCATTTGGAAGGCAGATGTAAGGTAGGATACAAAAAGGAAGACCAGTACAAAAACTGCCATAGTTATCCTGGTGAGTACAGAGGATAGAGCGCTGGTAGTTGAAGAGGAAAGATTTGAAATACATTTTGGAAGTATACTCATCTTCAGGTGTGAACACTGCACACATTCCAGTCTTGCTATTACTTACCATCTCAACACAGAACCTAGAAACCAAGAACAAGTTAAGAACTTGAGATTCTAAAAGCTCTGTATGTCACTATACCCTCTGTGTGTGTGTGTGTGTGTGTGTGTGTGTGTGTCTCTCTCTCTCTCTCTCTCACACACACACACACACACACAGTTTTGTTGAGTAAATAACAAACTTAAAAGCAAGAGGGTCTGTGTTTCCAAACCAGCAAGGCAGGGAAGAACCTAAGGACTGACACAAGAAACAGAGTAGATAGTGCCAACTTTGAAGAAGCAGGCTGCCACTCAGTCGTCAACAATTTAGAAGAGTACTAAGAAGAGAGCTGGAACTACAAAGTTACAATTTACAGCTAATAAACTGCTTTCAAACATTGGCACAACAATATCCATTATCCTTGTTCATCTCTTCTTGCATTATCAGACATACTTAATAGTTACTTGATATATTCTTGAGTATATAAACTTTTTATTATCAAAAACTTAATTTTCTGATCTAAGGAACAATTATATCTGCCTTGTAATTCACTGCTATTTGTTAAATTTGGTCTTGTACATCAAGCCAGACTTTCTTTCTAGTTCCATAGAATTTGCTAGAAAATTGGCAGTAATGATTTTGTGCTAAGGGAATTACCAAAAATTTTAACTTTATCCACAAGAAATTAAAACCTGGCTGGGAAACAACAAAGTGTGCTTTTCAGGTTGTAGTTGTACTCTCTCAGCATTGGTTCCTATGACTAAAATGGGGATAGTATGTATTTCACATGATTTTTGAGGATGCAGCATTTCAGAGGAAATGCTGAAATTTCCCATGCCCTCAACCCCCAAAGAAAAACCACAGATCTTTCACATTTACATGGTTCTTGTTTGGTAATTCTCTAAGTCCTCATCACTTTAAATATCTTGTACAGTATACGCTAAGTTCTTGAACCATCTTTTATAGACTTTTGCTATACCTTGTTTGCAAGTCTTTCTTCTCTAATACTCTATTTTGAAAACTTGAAGGTAAAAGAATTTTTGTGCTTTTAGCACCAACTGTACTGCAGGTCATAGGTGCTCCATGAGTGAAATGACAGGGAAGAAAAGTAACACCTTACACAATGTAGGAAGCTTAACTAGGAGTTCCTAGGAAAGCTGTTTCTAATATAGTGTAAACTATACTAGTTATGAGGGTACTACATAGCATAGTTTGGGTACTCATGAGTAATGGATTTATGAGGTAACCTGCATTCCAGATGGCAACAAAAAATGGCTAAAAAAAATAGGCTGAAAAAGTTTGAAGTGCAGTCAGTATTTTCAGTACCCAGAATTAAACAATACGTAGACCCTAAGTTATATATTCCTATATAAATTGGCTTAAAGTCACCATCTCCCACTGTCTCGAAACACCAATTTATCTTTTATCAATGGATATGATAAAGTACCTAGGTTAGAATATCACTTTTATGTTTGTACTTCCCTAATCTCCAAATCCTGACACTAACACTTCAAGGAAGAGTAAAGGGAAACACATTCACTCCAAAACACTTTCTGTGGTAGCTGTTACTAAGACATCTTCATGTCTGTTATCAAGTTGCTTATAGACAAGAAGGGAAGCCTGACATGTAAATCAATGGTTATAAGTTAATACCACCTTGTAATGTATTGTGCTGAAAGGTAAGCATTGGGTATTATGGGAGTTCTGAAGAGAACCATCAAACTCAGACTCTTTCAGAAGCTGTTTCCTGCTACACAAAACATGTTTAGCAAAATCTATCACTGTACCCTTGAACACTGACCAAATTCAGAATAAAACTCTGGATATAAAACATGACTTAAGGTTTCAATGTTAGGGAAGTATAAGGAGTAGATGTGTATTTAGCTATTCCCAAAGTCCTGTTAAGGTCTGTAACATTTGTTTGTTTACACAGTAGAACCAAAAGTTTTTTCTCACCCTCAGGAATCTACTTGAATATGGTTCAGCATATATTGGACTTAATGCTGCTTTCTGTGGTCTAATAGCGAACAGTCTTTTTCGGCGCATCTTGCATGTGACAAAGGCTCGTATAGCTGCTGGCTTACCAATGGCAGTGATCCCATTTTTGTCAGCAAGTACCTCTTACACAAGTTTTGTAAGTTTACCTCTGAGTACAGGTAAATTCTATTTCATTGTCACCAAAGTTTATCTTGGTATGTTATTGGCAATGTTAACACTTAAGGTTTAATATCTAACAGCTATGTTCTAATGCAGTGTTTGGATAAAACTGAATCTTGCTAGCCTCGCTATTATATGGTAACTTAATTACTATTAGCAGGGTCTTACCAAGCAAGTAAGAGGAACATACACAGCATTTCTAAATACGTTAATCTAAGTTGTCTTTCCATCAGCACTCAGTAATGGCTATTTTAAAATTTAAGAAAGCCGAAAAGCTTACTGCAGCTTACACCCTTTTTGCTGTTATTGTTATAGAGAAGTTGTATAAAGGGATAAAATATTTTATGGGAATAAGACTCTATGTAGCAAATCTCTTAAAGCACTACATGCATACATAAGCTTTATAAAAAATTAACCATTTGTGCTGCTACAAATACACCTGATCACACAGATACACACACAACTTTTGACCAGTGACTTAAAACATATTACCATGGGAACTGAGGGCAGCCCATCTAAATTTTATTTTGTTAAGTGTTGCTAAATGTGATTTAACCCTAAGTATTTTGTCTGGATTCCCATCACCAGGATAGAAAGAGCTTTTACAATCAGTGGAAATCTGTTGCCCAATAACTAAACTAAGTGAAAATATGAGCCCAGGTTTGCTGATAGCAAATTAAGAGCAGAAATCTAGAAGCAGTCTAGAGAGATTATTATACCCAAGGCCAGAACCAATTAGAGAATTTTTTTCCTAAAATGTTTTTAGATTTTCTTGGCAATTTTAGGTTACCCACACATGTAATGCTTTTTTTGTTTCTCTGGATGTGGTGGTCAAACCCAGAACCTTGCACAGGCTGAGGGTACACTTTATCACTGAACTCTACTCCCACCTCCTCGCCGTGCCTTTGAATGTGACTTATAGAATTTGCATTTGCTGCATTATTGCCTGAAGTACCTGTAGTAAATATAAGTGGATCTTATATTTAAATCATGTTTGCTTACCTATCATGACCATAAATTAAGAGAACTAATTTATTTCCTAGGTGATTTGAATTGTGAAACCTGTACCCTGACACGGGCTGGACTGATTGGTTTAGTTCTTGGTGGTCTGTACCCGACTTTCTTGGCTATACCTGTGAATGGTACCCTAGCAGCCAGGTAAGATTGTTTTCTCATTATGACTGAAGAACCTTCAATAACATATGTGACTACGTAGAAAAACTGGAATTTAAAACAACTTCTAAAGCAGTGAGGGCAAACCTTTTAGAGTTTTCAATGATAAACAGCCAACTATTGCAAACATTCCATAGACTTGCCACCACTGTTTTAAGGCATTAGGCCAATATTATTTTTTTGATTAGAAGTTTAAAAGACTTGGTATTTTTTATTGTAAGTAAACAAATCTTACTAATTAAGAATTGAAAACAGCTCTAGAACCATATTACACTGTGCCTCTTAAGAGTGTAATTCAAATTAGTATTTTTAATTCGCATACTGAATGTTTACTACAAAACTGCAAACAATAGTAGGCCTAGTGTGAATGCTGTGTTATACACAGATTTTCAGAGTTTGAGCACTTGCACTAAAACAAATTTTCATCAGAAAATGTCTGGCTATAAGCCTGCTACTAGAAAATAACTGTGGTTATTCTCTGTTGAACTCATACCAGTAAACTACTCTGTATGACCCTCCAGAGGTGAACTGGAGGAGTGCAAAAAATAACCCAGAATTAATAGACAATGAACAGAGTAGCATCACCTTAACTTTAGCTAGTTTTATCCTAAGACTTCTAGGATAAATACATATTGTACAGAGGTTCATCATTTGATACAAGTCTTTTCTAGTGAAATATCTCCATGTTTTCTTACAGGTACCAAACAGCCCTGCTACCAGAGAAAGGAAACATCTTAACGTACTGGACTAGAATATCCAAGCCTGTCTTTAGAAAGATGTTATTTCCCTTTTTACTTCAGACTGTGTTTGCAGCGTACCTTGGGTCTAGACAATATAAGCTACTTATAAAGGCTCTTCAGTTGCCTGAACCAGGTCTAGAAATTAACTGATTTTTAAACAAATATGTATATAAAAATAAAACTGAAAATAACCTGTCTCTAATGTTAAAAATAAACATAGATTTATAATTTAACACATGAGGTACAAGGCTACATAGGGCAACAAAAGGCTAACTCTCAGTAAAAACTAATCACTTAAACAAGCATAGACAGGGGTTGTCCTCTGTGGTAGTGCTTGCCTCCCATGCATGAAGCCCTGGGTTCAATCCCTAGCACTGTGCCAAAAAAAAAAACAAAAAAAACCCCTAATTTCTCTGTAGTTTGCTCAACACTGTCTTTTCCATCTTGCTTGTGCCACTCCTTTACTTCAGGCATTGATTTTGGTTTATAATGCAAAAGGAAAAGCTAACCATACAGCAGCTTTCACTGATGACTTCCCAAAGCCAGACAGAAAGGAAAAAGATGTCAATATAGCAAATTTACATATGCATCATTTTCTCAGCTCAGTATTACATAAGATTGTTAATCCATAAAATCCTAGAATATATTTAATAACCTTCACAAGAGACCAACCCAATCTACATCCTTGGAAGGTTCTAGTTTTATAAGATTTAGACAAAGTCCATTTGAAGCTTCCAGATATTTTAGGACAGTTCTTTAGAATCACAGACATAAGCCTTTTTTCCGTGTATGATATTAGACACTAACATCTGGGTACTAAACACTTAGTACCCTTATCAGTAACCTCACTGAAGGCAGATATTGCATAGTAAGTTGCTAACATTGCACCTGACAAACCAAGTACTAAAATAGCCATATCCCTTGTGTTGTTCCTGGTTTACTTCCTGAAATATATTATGGATTCATTTCCTTAGGTCATTTAAATTTTTGAAGTGATCTGCTATATCCTCTTTCCAAACATTTCTCATCCTAGTTCTTTCTTTTTTGTGGCAGTGTCTAAATCAGCCTTGTCCAACAGTACTTTCTGTGACAGAAATGTTTTGTAGCTAGTCAGTGTTAGGCACTAGCAATATAGGTTTTAAGCAACCGCATGGGAATACACAGCTACGGTAGCAGACAGTGCACTGGTCTAGATCAACACTTTAAGAAAGCCAGTCACCACAGAAGAGTACAAAACAAAATCTTAAGTTATCTTCCTGTATCATATTCATGAGTACATCTTACCTAGTCCTCTCAAATATAGTGACTTATCTTAATATTATGCTACCTAATATTCTATAAAGAATTCAGAAAAGGCAGCTTTGCAAGATTAGAAAAAAATAAAGCAGTGCTGCCAGAGATTTAAAGTTCAAGTAAAATTAACAAATTTTCAGTTTTTCTGAAAACAAGATTTATTTTTTCAATAGACACATAACATGTATTTTCTACCAAACTAATATATGCACAAAGAGAAAGATATGTCAAAATGTTTACTGTAGATATCCTCTAGGTTATAGTTACAGGTGATTTTTTTTGCTTTATTTGTAATTTTCCAATCTTTCTATAATAAATGTGTTTGACTCTCACAGCTAAGGAAAAAGCAAATATATGTATATATGCAAACTAAGATACCAAGATAAAGGCTCTGGTTCAAAGTTGTCCATTTCAGCTACATTCTATTGAGTTCTATTTATCACATTTTAAAAATTCCCTCAAAAATAAATTCAGATTACTGACTTGGACTCCTTAGGAATACATAATGATACAACCAACTTAGATTAACTGAAAACCCAATGGTATAACTAAGCTGTTTGAAATACTCCCAAAATATTTACTCCCGAGCATACCATCTGTAAATGGATATAAGCATTGCTTCTGTAACGAAAAAGATTTCTAACATCTGTTCTCTGCTACATGTTTCTTAAATCATCTTTTCAAATTAATAGAAATGGGCAATTTAAACAATAAACCAGCTTTATTGTGGATAAAGTTATTGTGGTCTGTAACTACATCTCTACCAAAATTTGTGAGAAAGCAGATCCAACATATATGAACCTGCTTTGAGCTGCATGACAACTCAGTCATTTATAGCTAAGACCTAGACCTAAAGAACACTGCCTCAATCAGTTAGGAAATAATTTTTAATATTTCAGTTGTCACAATAGACAAACCAAAACTTTTACAGTTCACTTTGTATAGTCATATAAGATTTTTAAAAAAGGGTTCATATCATAATTGAGATAGTAATATATTTCATTATTCCAAAAATGTAGTACACCAAGAGCCAGAAGGGTCTAGAGAACTGACCTCAGTGGGAATACATGAAAGAGAATTTGCACCACACATTCTGGGCTACCAATAAAATTCAAACTTTTATGTATAGAATTACACAATGTTCCAAAAATAAGTAGTGACTACATTTTCTTAGTTCCTGTGAAAACTGAGCAACATGTTTTCAAGTAATTTTAGGTCAACAAAAATTCTAGGGTATTATAACAAAGGAGTGGCTGGAAGAATGCTGAGCCTACAAAGGTATTCAAATTCAAATACATGAAAAGTGTGCTGGCCAAACAAGACACTCTGAACATTTCTACTGGAAGACCTCCCCTTACTGATTTCTGACTTAGGTGGCAACTCAATTAAAAAAAAAAAACGGTAAAAGTACATTTAGAAGGGTCTCAAAATCTGTATTGATAATTTGGGGAAAAAAACTTACATCTTCCTACCTATTTAAGACTAATAGATTAATTTATCTTAGAAATTTGGCTAAATTAGTAAGATCTTAATCTGTACCTTAAAAATGCTCAAAACAGATAATGACATTTGAAAAGCAATTATGTGTTCTATCAAAGTAGTAGGTTATCTGTGATCAAATGTATAGTGGTGGAATTGGCTGTATTGTGGGTGCATCAGCTACTTAAGTATAAGCCAGTGGGGATGTTCTTTGCTGCCTGGCTTCACAGGCACTGAATATATTCAGATTTTAAGAAACTGAGTGGACTTAATGAATTTCATATAAAACCAAATGTATAGTTATTTCAAGTAAGAGCTATCTCCTAACATCCAATCCAAAGTTTTCAGGTTTTTTCCATACTTGTAGTAGACCAGAAAAAAAATTTCACTGGAACCATATTCCATGCAAAAAACCACTCCCATCATCCACAGTACTAAGGTCCTTACATAACACTAGAGAAACTTTAATATGGAAACTAATACACCATTAACCTCCAAGTCAATTACTCAGAGGCCAAAACCTCAGGATCCACACAGCCTAATGTCAGCCTAAACTGTAATTAACTATTCATACATCTTATCACAATCAACTTTTTCAAAGGATGTACAGACAAATCAATGCATCTTTTAAAAGACTGTTCTTTATAGTTAAGGACTTTACATTAACTTTTATATTCTCGGCAACAAGGTGTCTGTCTGTCCTCCAAATTAGCTTTTATGTTCCAGGAAATAAATACAAACTCATAATATGCTTTGTCATCACTGATGGCCTATTTATGTAACTCTAGTCCACTAAATGTAATTCCATAGAATGTGCTCTTGGTTATGTCAAGAATCTATTATTTCTTGATAAAATACTATAATTCTCTTCTCCATTGGTCACAAGTTTTAAAAGATATGCAAAGAACTGAATATCACTCCCATGAAAGACAAAAAAAAAAAAAGTGTAATTTTGTTCCAAAATTAACTTAGTTTCATGTATTTCTATTAAGTCTTTCAAGCATTCCACAGAATCTTTTCATATCTCCATTTCTGGAAAGTGAAATCAGTATAGAAGTAATTTGGGAACTTGAAAAATGGCATTCATATTTTTCAGCAGATGCCAAATTTTTGACCGACATGGCTCCCACAATTACTTTGTTACCATCAGTCCAGTCAGTTAACAGGTTGTAGGAAAAGATTCGTTTTTGCAGATACTGCTAAGCTGTTCAAAGAGAAGAGAGAGAAATTAATTTAGTGATTATAAAATGAACAAATATTTAAAATATTTCGAACACTTTGCTGGATATATCAGAAGTGTGACTATATTTTTTAAAAAGTGTTACTTTTTAATTAACCCTGCTCCAGGAAGTGCAGAAACAGTTAAGTTGGTATGACAGAAATAGTAAGTCAACATGTTGTGTTAGTTCAATTAATGTATGAATTCCTGCCACCATAGGAAGACTAGTACTAAAAAAGCTGTGTTTTTAGTTCTATATCACTTAACCAGAGGCACAATTACGCAAAAGGAAAAGGTTCCCCCAAATACTAAATTGTTTTCAACCATTAAACAGAATCAAACCTGAAAATTTCAAAACAATCTATTTATATTCCAGAAATCTTTTATCCAAATACTAATCATTTAGAACACACTTTTCTAAAAATAGTAAGACAACAGTTTCATATTAATCATAACTTTTTTAATTAACAAGTAGTGAGTAGGACACTTTAAGATTCTGTTTACTACATACTGAAATAAACATCTGTTGTAAATTCAGAAACTCAAACATTTACAGTAAAATGTGCTTACACATAAATATGACCAGATTAGCCCCTGATAGGTCCTAAATACATGCAATTACCATGTAAAAACAAGACCATGAGTTGATGTAAAAAAATGACAAAATCACTAAGTCACCAAAACTAGAAAAGAAATAATGAAATGGAAACTGAGAGAACACAGTTAATAAAACAAGGAACCTAACAAAGCAGCTTTAAAAACAGATCATACTAATCTTACCATTTTCGAAAGTTCTTAAATCATCTACTTCCCCAAACTGCCATTTATAAAATGACATTCTAAAAATCTATACTTGGAATTTCAAAACATCCCAATTCAGAAAGTTCTGACTACTGTTTCTTCTTGGCCCTGAAATTTAAATAATGCAGGAAAAGCAGTGGTATTAGGAGGAAAATATTCTAAGGGAATGATATAATTTTTAGAAACAAAGTTACTGCTTCCAGACCTTTTCAAGACCCATAGTCGGCATTAACAACAGTAATTTCTGCTATTTTCACCCATTATTTTGCAATGTCATACTAGAGATGAATAAATTCTTTGAGCCCATTACTGAAAGATCAACAAACCCGGTTTTATTATGACACCATATTTTTGTCATTGGTACTGCACAAAATTATATACAAAGAAATATATACAAAAATGTTCAAGTATTAGTTAAATTTCAATTCAAGGCTTCTGTTTCAAAAAGCTACATTTAACATATTTCATAAAGATAGCACAAATTAGTCATTTCAAATAATTCTTCCAACTACTTTTGGTTTTTATATGTATATATATATATATAATTCAGTAGGCACTAAAAATCCATGCAGCTGCATTGTGAGGGGCTTGCTCTTGCCCTTAGGTATAAGCAAGTTCGTCACTCCAGGTTGTGAGTTTGGCTATTACCCATTCATGCTCAAGTGCAGTAGATGATTTCACAAAATATGCTGTGATGCACTGGAAACCAGAGACCAATTTAGGTCTCAAGTCGTATTATCTAGCAACAAAACATTTACAGTTGTGCAAGAACAAGGATTCCATTTCCATAACCAAACAACAAAATAAAACATCTTATGTGTAAGATAACTTAGATCTTTGGACTGCTGGAAAATACTTTTCAATTACGAACATTTTAAAAATAAAAGACAGCAGAAGCCCTGATATTACCTCTTTTTCCTCATTTCTTATACTACCTTTTAAAATAAAGCAGGAAATGTGGCCAGCAGCTGGTCCCGTCTCTTCTGCCCCAACAGCTGTATCCACTTTAGCACAAAGAAAAACAAGGATGCTAAATACGTATATACTTTATCAAACAGTGATGTTTCACAAAGAATTTCGTAATGCCCCTTACAAAGAAGGACATCATAGTTTATACAAGTGGACAATACATAAGCGTACTGCAAGGGAAGAATACGCTCCATTTTTGGAAAAATAACATCAGTCATTCCATTAAGTGGCCAGAACCACTCAACTTCAAAAAAGTATTTTTAAACAGGGAAAATACTTTTAAAAGTATTAACAGAGAATAGGATTCTTTGTGAAGCCTCACTTTACACGTTTTCATTCACATTTCACAACCTTCAGTATCTAATCATACATACATAAATTTAACCTATAATGTCAATACAACATAAAAACGTGTCCAACAATTTATACTCAGTGATAGGGTAATCACTGTGCTGGTCCTCAAGGAAACATTTCATTAGTCATTCTTATTCTTCCTCCAATTAACTAAAACACAAGAGTCTCACAGGTAAATTTGCAACTTCTCTAATGGTGAGATATTAAAATCTGTTACTCTGAAGATTGTACTTTTTATATGGTGTACTGAAAACTAAAAAGCATTCTTGAATATTTAAGAGATTCCTGTCATCTCCAGCAAAGCAACTGTTACATTTTGCATGCCTCAAGTACTTATTGTCAACCTCTGAAAAGTTGCTCTAAAATTGGAATTCCAATTTGCACCTTGTACAACTCGGAACTTCCATTCAACTTCACCTGTTTCACTGTCTCCAAACTGTATCGCTATAAGCAGGTTTCAGTGTACAGTTGGAACCGATGTCATCCAAGGCCATGTCCACACTGGGTACAGAAGAGCTAGGTACACGCAAGTCTGAACAAGGGGACACATTAACAGCTATTTCAACCAGAAGAAGCATCTTAAATACATTATTGACCAGCACAAGTCTGTTTCCAGGGTGGACAGGGCCCAAATTAGATTCCCCACCCACCTTTCAAAAAAGAAAAATAAAAATCACACACACACACAAATTGAGATGTTGCCCATTAAAGTAGACTAAGCAGCAGAGCATGAGCGTTACGTGAAGAGATGGATCCTTACCAGGTTGTGAGGCGGGAACGACTGTTCTGTAACCCCTACAACGGAGCCTGGCAGGAAGGAAATCACCTAAAAAAGAAACTGTCAGAGAGATTTAATAGTCACAGGTTATCATTAGGAGTTGGTTACAGTGTCACATTCATGCTTTTAGCTAAACACTTAAAGATTCAATATTACTTTTTTCCTCCTCTGAAATGTGTCCAGTGAAGATGTCCCACTAAAGTGTTTTACATGGTGTAAGGGAGTTGAAAGGGGTAAACGCGGATAAAGAGCAGATTACTTGACCCTACATTTTAAGAGACGACGACGCCTTCCGAGCGCACGCCGAGCAGAACTCCACCGACACCTTATCCTTATCCACATGAAGACACACTCCTCCTGCCGACTCGTCCTCTTCCAGGGGGTCCTGCTGCTGCTTTCCGACAGGCAGGGCGTAGTCATGGTCCCCGGCGGGCGAGTCTCTGAAGAGCGAGGTGGTCAGCCGCAGTCCCACGCCGCTCAGCCGGCTCAGCAGGCGCGCCAGTCCCGTCTCGTTGGCTAGGACTGCCCGTAGGTAGCGACTCTCCTCCTGCAGCGCCTGGACGCGCCGGCCCAGCTCCCGATTCTCGGCCCGCAGCTCCTGGTTCTCGGCTGCCAGCCCCCGAACTCGGCTCTCCAGGCCCATCACGTACTCCTTCTTCTTCAGCCGATTAAGGCGGGCTGCGGCCGCCGCCGCCTTCCGGGGACTCTTTGTCGCCGCCTGACTGCTGTCGCTGCCGCCGCCGCCACCGCTGCCTCCTCCGGGAGTCTTTCTCCGCCTCTTTTCCCCGCCGCCACTGTCACTGCCGCAGCCTCCGATTCCGTTTAACAGCCTCTGCAGCAGGTCCGAAAAGCGCTGCATCTCAGCCGCCGCGGCCTCGTCGTCGTCGTCCCCCCTCCAGAGGCCGCCGCTGTCCGAGCCGCCGCCGGACGAGGAGAGAGGCCCCGGCGAGCTGAGCCCGGGCTCCAGGTGCCAGTCCGGCTGCCGAGGGTCCAGCAGGTCGGCCAGCTCCAGCCCCGACAGAAAGTCCATGTCCTCCGTCTCCTCCCCGGGGACGCCGGCGGCCGCCTCCTCCTCCATGTCCTCAGGCGAGGGCGCGCGCACAGCCACGCCGCCGCGCGCCC